GCGGGGCTGCGGGAATGTGCCAGGCTCTGGAAACTGAGCAGGGAAGTGGGCCGTGTGAGCGCAGGGCCCCCCACCAGCCTCCTGGGAAGAGGGTGCCCCAAGGGCCCCCTAAAACTAGCTCCCGAGACTCAGGGCCAGACAGCCAGGGTGCCCACCCCTGCACGCACCTGCAGCTGACAGGTGCCTCTCCAGCGAGGGCCTGCGGGCTGGCAGGGGGCGGGCTGGAGAAGGGGCTGCCTGGCCGGGGGCTGAGGGAGGCTAGGCTGGAGTAGGAGGACCTCAGGGAAGACTGGCCGTCAGTGTGCGTCCTCGCTGAGGCCTGCGGAGAGAGGGCTGTGAGAACCACCAGAGCCTGCGCCCGCCTCCCAGCCTCAGCTACCCCGGCCGAGGGTCAGGGCGCCGCCCCGGCGGTGGCACCAGTTTACCTGGAAGCGTGTGGCCAGCACTTCCAAGGAGCTGTCTCCGTTGGCCTGTCCGGGAGAGGCAGCCTGAGACCTGAGGAGGCAACAGAGGAAGGCGTGTCCCCACAGAGTCCTGGCTCCAACCCTCACCCCGTCCCACCAGCAGCCAGCCCTGGCCCAGGTCCGGGTCTCAACAGTCAAACTTTCGGAATGTGTGGACGCGGGGCTGTCTGTTTAACTCTACCAAATTAGAAAGTTACCATGGAGACCACCATCATTTCTCTAAGCCAGGACACGCTGCGGTGCAGCGTGCAGGTGGGGAGGACCACCGTGCGCTCCGGAGCGCCAGGCCTGGGTTGGGACTGATCTGCCTCAACACGCCTGGCGCCCCGGCCGTGGTGGCTGCTGGAGGGCTGGAGAGGATCTCAGCATGGTGAGACTGTCAGGAGTCTCTGTCTCTCTTGCTCTTTTTTTCTCTCTCTTTCATCAAAGAAGTGAAGAAACATCAAAGAAGAAGAAGAAAGGACAGTTTAGCACCAAAAAGCAGGAAGGACATAATTTCGGCAAAAAATTTCAATAAATACAATTTCTTTAGAAATGCCTCATGAGCCGGCCGTGGCAGCAGGCGCACACTGTGCCTTGGGAACACGGTCCACGTGCCCGCCACAGCCCCAAATCACGCCTGACGCCATGCGCAGGCACCCCAAATCCCAACAGGGCAGAGAAATGGAGGGAAAGGGACTGCGGCATGGAAGTGTCTCACCGGGGGTCTCTGTCTCTGGCAAGGATACGTGCCCTCTGATGGATGAGGGGAGAGGGAGGTGGGGAGAGGCTTCCTGCAGAGCCCCCTCACTGTCACTTCATCGGGCTCTGCCGCTGGTCGGCTCGGTGTGCAAGCGGATCAGGGAAGGATGGCTGATGTGTAAAAGTCCTTCATGTTCGCCGTAAAGCGAGGCCCAGAGAGGGGTAGAACTCCCCAAGTCCGAGGCCCGTCAGGGCAGAGACTCGGCTCTACCCAACCGCACCTCCCTGGCTGGGTGCCTTCAGAGATCATTCACCGGCTCTTCCTAGGTGTCTCCCCTTAAACCAAGGGTGGGGCCGCCCTCCCTCCCAGGCAGACTGCAGGCACAGCTCCCACCAAGGAGAGAGCAACCTGAGGGCCTCCCGGGCCCTTCCAAGCTTCATTCCCAGGGAGCGGTGGGAGCCTGCCCTGGGTCACAAGGGTCACCGGGGCAGGGAGCAGGCTGTGGTCAGAGTGTGCTCTCTCTGCTGTCTATGGACACTGCGCCATTCCAGGGTGCCTGGCCACTTCTACAGGGCTGGGTCGGCAGGAAGCCGGCCTCCCGGGAAGGGCTAGGGGTCAGGGTGTGGAGCACAAGCCCCCGCCCCCAGGACTTCTGAATACAGAGGTGTCTCCTGGGGGGCTCAGCAGAAGAAATGAGACTGGCCAGAGGCCTTGGCCTGGGGCCTGGGGCCTGGGGCACGCAGCCAGGCCACCTCCTTCCCAGTGAAAGGACAGTTTAGCACCAAGAAGTAGGAAGGACAGGCTGGCCCCTGCCCTCGCCTCTGTGACATCATCCAGCCCCTAGACCAGGAGGCTCCCTCAGCCCTCCTCCTCTGGGTCTGGCCCCTGCAAACGCACGGGCGTCATGGAGCCCGCCTGAGCAGGGCAGCAGCCTGGCCGCGGGGGCAGAGAGGCCGCGGTAGCTGAGTCAGGTCCCCGGGGCGCCCAGAGGGCTCTCCTGATGCGGGGATCTCCCAACATGCCTGATCTGTGACTCAGCACAGGCCACACCCCGGAGAGACACCTGTTCCCCCACGATGCTGGGCTCCAGCTATAAAAACCCACCAGCCCAGGCTCTACCTTCCCAGAAGCGCCCAGCACAGCGACGGAGCCCCACTCCTCACTCGTACAGCGCCAGACCAAGGCTGCCCCCTTCAGAAGTGGGAGCCCTGGGACCCAGCCAGGACAATCTCGCCCACAAGTTTCCCCTCTTCTCCCCACTTCAGGCCCACGCCCTGTACCCTGCACTCTGGGAACCTGTCAAACCCGGGCTCCCAGGTAGCATGCCAGCTTGCCCTGCCCAGCTGTGGCTACATGGCTGGCCTGGCGCCC